ACGAACAACTCGTATAAACAGTCAATTTTCATTAAGTAACATATTATTTTGGACTATCCTTTATACCTCTGAGCTTATTACGAATAAATTGACCTCGCGGCTTTATTTCGCGTAAAAGGTCAATTTATTCGCAATTAGCTTAGAGGTATAAAAGCTAGTATAATCTGTTACTTAATGAAAATTGATTGTTTATACGAGTTGTTCGTGACTCACTTAGGCTGCAGCTTATTTAAATTAAGGCAATTTTAAGCCGCGAGACGTATGAGAACAATTCCAGCTAGATTGTGGACGACTCAAATCATTGCTCTTTTACATGCCTCAAATGTCGGGGCTTAACTCGAGCGTCGAATATTTTCAATGACTTCGAGTTAAGCTCCTCTTTTTTCACAGGGCTTAACTCGAACGTTCCAAGTTGTGTTTCTTTCTTCGAGTTACGCCCTTGACGAAAATGGGTGTGGTTTGGGCGTGGACGGGGTTTGACTCGAAAAGGGCTTAACTCGAAGGGCTTATTAACTCGAAGACTGCCAAAATGTTGGGTGTTACGTTACATAGTTCAGGGTTAAATTTGCCCCCCCCCCCTTTTTGGGGGTCGTTTTGAGTCTATTGTTTTTGGAGTTATACAGTTATATATTAGTTAAAAATACATACGAATTCATCTATGCAATCAAATTTCCCAACTATCAGTTTGGTGATGTGGGTCGTTTTATCTACAGATTATTAATTGATGATTAATTTGTTTTGAATTTCTTCATGAATATATATTGAGTTTTAAAGTGCATATAATCAAACGGAACAGTATCGGGTTCCTGCCCCAGGGACTAATAGGGAGTTTACGAATGTAAGACGGCGACGTTAGGACGACGGCTATTATAATACAATGTCATTAATCCTATAGCACAAACGAAATGAATAAATAAAAGTTTAGTAGGGGTTTTAGACGTCGTCCAAGCTCTGCTAACAACGGCAAAATGTATATTTTCACGTCCTGTATAGTACGCTAGCATTTCAAGCCATGACAGGTAGTTTTTCTAGCAGCGTTGATCAAAATTGCTCCGAAGGTTAAAGCTCTGTTTTACTCGTTCGAAACTATTTTAAATTCATACTAAAGTAGCTAACTACAATATTTCCATAAAATCACTTATTTAAAACAGTTTGTTTAGCCGTCGTTCTGACGTCGCCGTCTTACATTCGTAAACTCCCTAAAGTTAATTTATCGACGACGACAAAAATAATACAAATAACACAGAAATGTAGGGAAACCTATACTTACAGTCTACGTAGTACTATACATATATAGCCAAAGTAATTAATTATATGGTATTGTATAGATAGATTATAAAAAGTTAAGATTTTTATATATCAACACGGCTCTTAGCCAATCAGCGTTCAGAATTTACAAATGCTATATTATAATATAAGATAGAACTGAATAGAACAATAAAAGTTTCAGTATCAGCTATCGAATAAAAATTCAATATAGTTTTTAGTTATACATAAAAAGTTCAAAACAGTTTCTCAGTAATGTTGGATCGAGCAGGAGTTAAACTTGCACGTTCGCGAGCAGGAATGATTTGATTTAGGTCATATTGATATATGCCCGATATAAATGTAACAAAAACTATTACGGATAATTGTATAATACACCCTTCCGTAAAGTACTTATAGGCCTGTTTTATACGTCGAATTTTGGTCGCGTCGAACGCAATTAAGACAATAGATGAGATGAGAAACCTCATTGAGCTTCATTATCTATTGTTTGAATTGCATTCGACGCGACCGAAATTCGACGTATACGCCTCGTTTTCGTGTTTGAGGCATTGACTTATAAGAACTATTCTCTGATTCAACTATATGATTTCGTGAATTTGTCGCCTTACAAGATAAAGGGCTCTATGGCCAAGACTGAGCACTTTACGCAAGAGCGCTTTGCCTAGGCAAGATAGAAATAAAGTGCATGAGCTGCCTCCTCCGCAGGATCTTCTATATAGATCAAATTTAAATATCAGTAATATATAGATCAGCGCGTGCACAGCAAGCTCAACAAAGACGCACGCTCAACTAAGGACGAGCGCGCAAAGGAAAATGGGAAGACGAGAAATTGCAAGAATAGCTATCCTCGGAGATTCGATGATTAAACACTTGGACACCAATAGCTATCCTCGGAGATTCGATGATTAAACACTTGGACACCAAACGAATGCAGAATGGATTGAAGAAAGGAAAAGTAACGATTAAGACATTTTCTGGTGCGAGTTCGCTAAATTATGTACAGATAAGGGCTGGGGACTTATTAAACACAAGAACATTAAAGGAAGTCTTCTAAATAACTCTGGTTTACATTTAAATAAACATGGAACTACTACATTAGCTAAAAACATAAGACAATTTCTTAGCAGCCATTGACTAGATCCTGAGTTTTCAAACAATACGGATCCTGATTCAACATTTTTGCATATCGCGTAGATCAAATAAACACACAGTCTAGTTCACGACAAACAATGCAAATAAACAGCACCGCGCCTTATCCAAAACTGAAAGGCTTCAAAATTGGCCATCTAAACGTCGCAAGTCTATATAAGCATGTTGATGAACTAAGAATTTTTATGAACGATAAAATTTTTGACATATTAAGTATCAATGAAACTAGACTTGACGGCACTATTGACAACAACGAAGTTAATATCACAGGTTATGATCTCATTCGGAAAGACCGAAATCGAAATGGTGGGGGTGTCGCAATTTATATACGAAATGTTATTCCCTACACTATCTGCAATCACTTACTTTCAAGTACAGTAGAAGCTATTTGTATTGAAATTAACAAGCCTAACAGCAAACCTCTACTGATCTCAACATGGTATCGTCCTCCCGATGCCAAGATAGAATTATTTGTCCATTTTGAAAATTTTTTACAGAACATTGATGAAGAGGACAAAGATTTTGTTATAACTGGTGATTTTAATTGCAATTTTCTGTCAACTGAAAATAATAACCAACATACAAACAAATTGATTGAGTTAATAAATGAATACCAACTACAACAGCTAATCACTAGCGCGACAAGAATTACTCCTAGAACTAAAACTCTATTAGACATTATTATCACAAAAATAGGCGACACAAAAATCATTGAATCAGGGGTCATTCACCTCGGAATTAGCGACCACAGCCTGGTTTATGCATGCAGAAAGGTTAGTATTCCAAAAGCAAAACCTAAAGTAGTAGAAACAAGACAATTCAAGCACTTTAACATTAACAATTTCCAGCAAGACCTTAACCAAGCACTTAACTCAACTTTGTTTTACAATTGCACTGATGCAAATACTGCCTGGTACACATGGAAGGAAATATTTTTGGAAATTGCTGACATTCATGCCCCATTACTAAAAAGAAAGGTAAAAAGTGAATATAACCCTTGGATGACAAACGAAATTAAGAATATGAGCTATCATAGAGATTTTCTAAAGAGAAAAGCAATTAAACATAATTCGACAAGATATCATGAACTATACAAGAATTGTAGAAATCGTGTTAACAATCTTATTAAAGATACTAAAGCTATATACTTTAAGAACAAGCTAGAAAGTACTACGAACAGTAAGGAAGGATGGAGAACAATCAATTTACTATTGAACAAAAAATCTAAGTCCACATTAATTAACGAATTAAAAGTTAGGGATAGTATAGTTACTGGTGACAAAAATATTGCAACAGCATTCAACAATTATTTTTCTACAATTGGTGAAAAATTGAGTGAGAATTTATCTTGCAACAATACCGACCCTCTTAACTACGTGACACCAGTGGCTGAGGTATTCGAGCTAAATAATATAACAATGGATGAATTAAGATGCGAGATATTCAAAGCAAA